TTTCCAAATGGCTCCAGAACAAACAAAGCAGCCAGAATTCCTAAGTGGAAGCTCAATAAGCACAAGTCCCCCATTCAAGTTCATTCCTTTCCTAGAGCTCAGAAGATAATCAGCTCCTCAGAAGAATCTAGAAATGCAAGAGAGACTCTGGCTGCACCATCCAAACCCACTCAACTCTGCTCCCACTGTGGGTCCATCCTGTCCTCTGCTGTCCTCTGCTTTCCTCAGCTTAAAGGGGTTGAGAAGGGATAACAGACAGCATCCTATCCACAAGGCAAATCACTCAGTCACCCCTGTCAGTTCAGCCAAGTATACTGGAGTGAGGGGAGAGGCAAGAATGAAAGAAGGGACCTCAGAGCACACTATGCTTTCTACCAGAATTCAGTGGGATTCTCATTCAAATCCCTTTCTTCACTTTCCTTTGAGTAGCTGACTTCCTGCCAGTGGCACTATTAAAAATTTGTCAAGACAATGCACATAAGGAAATAAAAACCAATTCATTAGAGATTGAGGAAGAATGAAGGAAGGAAATTTGCTTTTTACAGTAAAACATAGCTTATCCCTATCATCCTAGGTTAGTACACAGAAAGTGTGGCTATTAAGAATTTGACTTTTCACTGGGATTCTGCCAAAGACATTACATAAAATTTTACTTTCTCAGTAGAAGTCAAGTAATTAAAATAAATATTAAATCTAGTTGGTTGAGATCACGACAGCTTCCAACACACCTCTCACTTTCAGTTAGGAACAAATTCCAATGTATCATAAAAATTAAAGGTTATCCCAACTACATATTTTTAACATACATTTAAAGAATATATTGAAACCACATTTCACTGTGAACATTGCCATTGGCTTCATTTAAGTCTTTGTTAATTATTTAAATGGTTAAAATGGCTTTATTTAAATCTTCACTTGATCTTGGATGGTTAAATTACAAATGAATAAAATACAACATTCCACATCAATAAGCCAGTTTACAAGGTTTCAATGAAAAGCTTATTTCAATGATTATTTTACTGCTCTTCTTTGATTTCTGGAAAGTAACTTATAGCCTGATTATTTTTAGAAATCTTGCTTTCCTCTAAAACTGAGCCTGACTATGCCATCTAAAAAGGAGAAGCCAATATTCACTATCAAACAACATTTTTTTAGCTCACCTTTTTATTGAGATACCAAGAACCTATTTCATAATATAATAATTACTCTAGTGCTTATTAGAGTAATTATTGTATTATGACCAAAACTTACAGGCCTCTAATATTATTAACAGTCACATAGCAAGTTTGAAGGCTAGCCATTTAAATGGTGCTAAGAGTATAAATATGAAGAAAAGCTTCCCTAACACTCCATAAGGAAACCATCATATCAAAACATTTTGGAAAGGTGTGCTGCTCTCTCAAAAAGTCACAGACTTGATTCTCCTCATGTTTTCTTTGAAAAGTAAGGGTCTCTAACTAGGAGCTGGAGAATAAAATTTAGTAAGAAAGAAACTCAGCACAATGGCTTCAGAATAACCACAAACTTTCATTCTCCACACATTTATTTAAGGCCCATCTAAAGCATGCCAGGCAGGTTAAAAATAATGCATTTATGTAAGCACCCCTGCACACATACTCTTGCAAGGTTAAATAGGGAACTCTGAAAGAATGATTTATTGCCACAAGAACAAGGCCCCAAAATAGATTAGCAATAAAAGTGATTGGTCCCAGTGGGGTTGAGAACTAATGTAAGCAATGTCCTGGCCATGCGAAGCATCCGGGAAAGAGCACCGGAATCAAGGGCCAGAATCCAGGGTGAGCTTCCTGGCCCTAACCCCTCCTCTACCAAATTCCACTCACACAACCTCCTTAAGAATGTGATTCCTCAACTCTGTAAACTACGGGGGGGGGGGAGGGGGGGGACACGACGACTAGCTCATTTCTATAACATCATTTTATTTCTCAACTCTGTAAACTACGGGGGGGGGGGGAGGGGGGGACACGACGACTAGCTCATTTCTATAACATCATTTTATTTGTTTGCTTTTTTAAATTTTACTTTTTGCTTTGAAATCTGCTTTATCTTATTCAGTGCTGAGCTCTGTACAAAGGAGAAATAAATATGAAGTTCAAATCCACTAACACTTGCAGAAATTCTTTGGCTGCCCTTTCCCACACAATCACTCATCTTTCAACTTCCAACCCACTTTAACACTAACTGGCCTGCCCACTATGTTCCAGGTCTATAAATGAGTGGTCTGGATTGTCAAAATGAATACCAAGTTTCTAGACCAGAGAATAAAATGACAGCATAAGGGCTCAGACCTTGAGTGAGGTAGATGCAGGTGACTGAGAGCAGAAGGAAAGGGCAACCACTGCTTTGAAACCCAAAGAAAAATGGAGAACAATCCTAATTAGAATAAGTTATACTCTATATAATGTATATGTCAAAATACACTCTGTCAGGTATATCTAAAAGAACAAATAAATTTGAAAAATAAAATAAATAAGGAAAAAATGGAGAAAAATGTATAAGTGCTGGGGCTCAAAGGGAACCACAAAGTTTGGAGAAAGGGGGAAAAAAAGAAAAAAAAAACAGTCATCCCCCTGAAAGACACTTTAGAGCAGGCATCCTCTCCCCAGCACCCAATTCCAAATTTTGGCAAGTGGCAGCAACTCTGCTTGAACACTTCTTCTAATGGAGAAATCACACAGCAGCTCTATTTTTGAACTGCTCTAGTTATTTAAAAGTTCTATTACACTAAAGTCTCTCTCCTTCTGTCAACCAAACATGGGTACTAGTTTTCAATCTGTGGCATTAAATATAAATTTAATGCAGGAGGAGCAAAAACAAGGAAAGAAAAGACAGCAGAGCAAACACAGTTTTCGGGCTGAGAAAGGAAAGACAACTGCTAGAAAAGCCCTCAACTATAGCACTTTGTCAATCTCAAGGACTGGGCTCAAAAACACTCTGGAAAAGAGGTTCACACCCTCATCTGTTCTCTCCATCAATAAAAACCTATTTTCTGTTTCTGTATCTTAGGAAAGAAAGCTAGATTGTACAGATAGACCTGGCTGCTTCCTTATCTTCAGCATCCACATTCAATCAAAACTACCCAGGAGGCCCCTGTCTCCCAGAAGAGGTCTCCACCCAGGGCCCTCCGGCTTGTTCTGTCCTGACAATTCAAACCCCATGCCTACATATCCAACCTATCAGCCCTTCTCTACCCTCTGCTAGACATCCCAAGCCTAGACCTTACAGCCAAGATCTAGAGCAGGGATTAAAAGCTGCCCAAAACAGAGAAAAGCTTTGTTGTTGTTGTTGTTGTTTGTTTGTTTTGTTTTGGAGGGGGCAGGAACTCAGCAGTACTTGATCACTAAGCCACATCCCCAGACCTATTTTGTATTTTATTTAGAGACAGGGGCTCATAAGCTGCTTAGTGTTTCAACATTGTTGAAGCTGGCTTTGAACTTGAGATCCTCCTGCCTCAGCCTCCCAAGCCACTGGGATTACAGGCATGTGCCACCGCACCACCGTGCTCAGCAGGGAAAAGCTCTTTTTTAAAGATTCCAGATTACCTCTGGAATGGGACACTGGTACCAATGCCTGCTAAAAATCTGTCCTGGCTCCTGACAGTAAGTCAAACTACTGAAAGGGAAGTTTGTCAAGTCATTTTAAGTCATTCTGGAGAGTGAAAGAAAGAAGCAAGCCAATGAACAACATTATATGGTTCTGCTCCAAATTCAACTGGAACAGGAGCCTAGGCAGTCAGGGCAACACAACCAAGAGTAAAGGATATGGTGGAAAGAGCTACACTGAAAGGGTACAAGCTTTTGGGAAGTCCAGTTCAACTCACTGTCTTCTGGGGCTCTTCAAGCAAAAGAAGAGATTCCTAAGGTATGCATAATAAAGACAGTTTGGTCTCACAAGCACCAAAAATTCCATCTCCAGGGCAAAGAGACTTTCTAACAGAAAGGAGCTGAATTCTGCAGAATCTATTATTTTGTGACAGGTGGTATAGAAAGAAGACAGGCTAGACTTTAGCTTCAGGGCATGAAGGGAACACGTCATAGCTCTGCTATTAAGAGGTAAGAAGACAGGGCAGCTCTACCAAGCTAGTCACACACGAAAGGGGGGATGGGGACAAAAGGAAAAGGGGATGGAAAAAGAGTTCCACTTGAAGGAGCTAATGTCTTCATAAACCTTTGCTTTCTGCAGGGACCTCACAGGAGTGGGAGCACCAGAGAGTATATTAACCCCAAGCCGACACTACAGTAGGAGTGTGTCATTCCCAGTCACGACCAATCCGTTAAAATGAATCAAAAATAATCCCGCCTGGCAAAGAACAAGAAAAGGAGAGGAAGACAGTACTAAATCACGTTATCTACCGGCACTAATAACTTCTGCCTCTGACCAAGGTCTCCGGCTGCAATTGCTCCTAGTGACCGGAATTGTCCGAACTGATCTCACCGAATCTTGGGAAGCTGATTTTGAAAGAGGCCACCTAGAAACTGAGCCGCCGGTCTCGCGCGCCCGCCCCAGCGCAGACTGCTCCTCAGGCGGGTCCGCTACCCACCGGTCCTCCACCCGGTCGCCACCAGCACCCCGGCACCAGCCCTCTGCCCGCCCGTCCCTCCGGGCCCCGACCTGGTCCGCCCTCCTGGGCTCTCCAGCGCAGAGCCTGCATCCTCCCGCGCCTGGCCCGATAGGGATGGCGCTCCGGGCTGCGGGCCACTAGGCGGCCGCCGCCGACGCCTCCACGCGCGAGCAGACAAGACTGGGCGCAGGGAAGCCCGGACGCTGGGACGCTGGCCGGTCATCTGGTCCCGGGTGGGAGGAGGGACCGCCACCGGGGTCCCGCGGACGCCCTGTCACGCCCCCTACGCCGCACACCCGGGCCCCTCCCGCTGGCGGGTCGCAATGCTCGCTTTTGCCGCGGCCACCCCCTCTTCGCCGGGGCGGACACTGAGCCACCTGGCACAGTCTCCACCGCCACACCACCCACGCAGTACCCCGCGAGCTCCGGCCCTAGGCCGCCCTCCAGGGCCACCACGTTCCCTCCTGGGCCGTCCCTAGAGACAATGGCTCACTCCGTCGCCCTACTGCTCGACCACAGGGTACTCCTCTTTCCCTGGGCAGCGGATGTCATAGCTGCCCGTTTCACAGAAGTGTAGACCGAGGCCGAGGAGCTCAAAAGCGAGGGACCATGCGGAGAAACCCGGCTGCTAATAGGGTCGAGGAGGGTCCAGGTAAAAATGGGCCAGGGCGGCACAGAGAAGAGCTCTCTTTCCCCGGCACCGGAGTGGCCCCAGCCCGGTCCACTCCGCCTGAGGGCCAGGGGCCTCCGCCCACGCCGTCCCTGCCGCCGCCTCTTCGGCCCTCTCGCGAAAAAGACAAAGAACCTGAGCCCCAACCCTCGGATCCCTGGCCGCTGGGGACGAGAGGCCGGGGGATTTTTACCCTGAAACCAGGGGCGGGCGCAGGAAAGGAGAGCCAGCGGCGCCCGGGCTGAGCCGCCACGCGCGAGGCGGCGCGGGCAGCGTGACACCGGCGTGGGTCGGGGATCCCGGGGCGAGGGTGCAGCGGCCCGAGCGGGAGCGCGCGGGGCTGGACCGGCGGGAGGGCAAGTGAGCACCCGGCGCTCCGGGGTCGGCCGAGCGCGCGGGGCAGCGCCGCCGCCGGGGCCGTCCGGCCACAGCTGCACTCACCGGATCGGAAGAAGGCCGCGATGTCGGCCAGGTCCTTGGCTGCCTCTTCGGCCCCCTCGCCAGCGCCGCCCCCGCACCCTGAGCCCGCTGCGCTGGCCGCCGCGGCAGGGCCGGAGGACGCGGCGGGGGCGGCAGCGCCGCCGCTGCTGCCGCTCATGGCTGCGGCGGCGCCCGCGGCCGCGCCCGCCTCGGGCCCCGCGCCCCTAGCGCCGCGCGCCGCCCGCTCCGCGCCGGGCCTGGCGGCACCGAGCACCCAGCTGCCCGCGCCCGGCGCGCGGACGCAGAGCCCTGGGGCGGCGGGCGGCGGCGGCGGCGGCGGCGGCTTGGCCCGAGGAGCGCGCCCACATAGACGAGGACTCCGCCCGGGAGCTGAGAGGCGACCGCTGGGCGGGGGCGGGGAGCCACGGCCTCGGCGGCGCCGGCCGGAACGCGGGCAGCAACGCGCGCCGCGCCGGACACGCAGTCGCGAGGGCGGAGGCCCGTGGCCAGCGGGAGCTCCGGGATCACGGGCGCCGGCGGCAGCCGCRAGCCTCCATCTTGGTTTCAAATGGGGAAGGAAGGAGGGGGAGGGGGAAATCACGGCTGAGGGAACCCGGGTGAAAGGAAAGGGGAGAGCAGCGAAAGGAAAGGAAGGAAAAAAAGAGGGGCTTCGGGAATTTCCGGTGAGTCTCGTCAGGGACCCGAGCGTCGGCTCGGCAGGTGGGCGGGGCCTAGAGAGAGGGGCGGGGCCGCGCCGGGCTCCGGGACGCCCTGAGGGCCGGTTGGCGACTGCGGGAGGGTTCGGTTTGCGAGGTCTCCGCCCGGCAGCTCTACACCTCAGGAAGAGGGAGAACGCTCTGCCTACCCAGCTGACGTTCCCAGGCCGGGCATTGCGCCCCCTGCCAGGGCTCTCGCTCCGGCGCCGCGAGCACCATCTTCCAGAGCTAGAGAGAGCCCTTTCATTCTTAGGTCGTCCGCGGGCCCGGTGACTCCAGCACTGGGCTGGTGWGTCCCTCGCTGGCGCAGCGCCGGCACTGGCACGTAGGTGGAGCTCCAGTAGTTGTTGGATGAGCCAAGAGGTCGCGAAAACAGGTTATCTGCCCCAGTCCCGGAGGCCACAGTGTCCTCAAACTGAGACTCCTAATCTAGGACTCCCCATCTCCCGAGCGTCCTCCGGCTTGACCTCAGACTCCCAGATCCACTGCGCTCAGTCTCCCAAAACGAGCGGGGAAGACAATGGGAGACCAGAGGAAATGCACCTTTTGGGAAGAGCCAGGCATCGTTTGCTGAATATTCGAGTTAAAAAACCCCGGTTTKGGGGCTACAAGCAGAGTTAAGTGGTTGGTGTCAAAAGTTAAGCAATCAAATGCTGGGGAAACCAACACGGAAACTACAACTTTCAACTATATACTACACATATATACTGGAAATGGACAATTAAATACATGAATAATGGATGATGGCCACCAGGTCTCTTACCTGTTACTGACCAGCAGAAGGGGCTAGAGTGGTCCATGTACTCTTGGATCAGAGCTGAAGTCATCAGTGTGAACTCTTATTTGGCTTAGTAGAGCTACAGATATATAAATGTGTGTTTACACAGATGTAAATATGTGTTTACACAGGGTAGTAACACAATGCATGTATCTCCTTGCTCTATCAGCTAAGTGGGCCTGCAGAGGACAACTAACACAGCTAGCACCCAGATCTTCTTTTTAGTACCATTCTTCAACAAAAGGAACCAGTCCTCCTTGGGGAAATAGCTGATTCTAATCCTGGGACAGGAAATATTTAACAAGAACCTGGAGCATCCTGCTGTGTCAGAAGGTAAGGAAGTTCTCTCCCACACCCACCTAAAAAGTTGGGTTTGGTTTTGTTTTGTTTTAATTAACAAGAATGTTGGGGGGTATGTCAAAGCAGCACAACATCCAATTGAAAGAGCTCCCAATGGCCAAAGCCAGAAAATTTGAACAAGAAAATAAATAACACACTATTTGAATATAGCCAAGAGTATAAAATAAATATCTGCTGATATAAATAAATGATTAAGTAAATAAATAGGGGAAAACAGGCAAATCTCCCATGCAGAAGAATTATGTCTATATTATGCCCTGAATGAGATGGAATAAAACTCCCTGTTCCTTGACTGTGGGCTGCATACAGGAACTTCCTTCCAAAGAATACAAAATGAGAGCTGGGACTGTGACTCAATGGTAGCACACTTGCCWGGCATGCATGAGGCACTGGGTTTAATTCTCAGCACCACATATAAATAAATTAAATAAATAAAGATCAACAACTAAAAAGAAATAATAATTAAAAAAAAGAATACAAAATGAAAAGGAGRGGAGAAAAGTACGTTTACAATAGAGAAACATGACCAACACTTTCTTGGATAGATAATTAAGGTAAACATCAGAAGCAATGAGTCTTGTTGATAGCATGGATTCTTGATATGATGTGATGAAAATGGCATTTTATCTCTGCGTCCTTCTTCCCAAAAGCCCATAACTCCTGTCTAATAGTGAGAAAAACATCAAAGGAATCCCAATTGAAGGACAGCCTACAAATTACTTGACTAACACAATCCCAGCCTATCAAGGTCATCAAAAATAAGCAAAGTCAGGGCTGGGGATGTGGTAGCACGCTTGCCTGGCATGTGCGGGGCACTGGGTTCAATCCTCAACACCACATAAAAATAAAATAAAGATACTGTGTCCACCTAAAACTAAAAAATAAATATTAAAAAAATTAAATACTTGAGAAATGCCCAGGTAAGTGTAGAAAGCAAATCTAAAAGAAAAAAAAAAAAAGTCAGAGAAACTGTCACAACCATGAGTATCCTAACAAAATATAAGAACTAAATACTTTGTAGTGTTCTTGATGAGATCCCGGAACCAAAAACCACGTTATATAAAAGCTTAAGAAAATCAGAAAATTGGAATACCATATGGACTTTGGTTAATAACAATGAACCAATATTGCTTCTTTAATTGTGAGAAATGTACCCTCCTAATAAAAGATGATAATAATAGGGAAAGCCAAGTATAGGGCATATGGGGACTCTCTTCACAACTTTTTTAGTAAACATCAATCTATTTAAGAGAAAGTTTTGTTTTTAAAGTTTCATTGTTTCATTTTTTTATTTTTGTTTATGTATTTTGGGGGGTTTGAACCTAGGGGCACTAGCCACTGAGCAACAACCCCACCCCTTTTTGTTTTTATTTTAAAGCAGGGTCTCATGAAGTTGCTTAGGGCTAAGTAGCTAAGCTTGCGATCCTCCTGCCTCAGCCTCCCAAGCATTAGAAGTTTGAATTTTTTTTTTTTTTTTTTTTACTGGATGGTCAATATCTTTTAAAAAAAAAAAAAAAGCAATAGACCCAAATTTCACCAACTGTCAACTCAGGTTTGTTGACAATGTTTCTTTTTCTTATTTTTTTTTTTTTTCCTATTGGTTAATTTCTGTCTCCAGGTAGCATTCCCCTTGAGAGGAAGAACGCTTAATCCTAGTTCAGGGATAACCCAAACTTTTGTGCTTTTCTTTGTTTTTTGAGTGCTTTCCCCCTGCTGCTTACCCACCCCCACCCCCCAGGCTTATAGCTGAGCTTTCAGCTATAAGTTTTCAAAGTGGGAACAGAAAGGTTGTACCTGGTTGTTGGTCGTCCTAAATTCATGCTGGCATGCCTGCCCCTCCAACTCCACAGCCTTCCTGAATTGCCGACATTGCTAAGGCCATGCCTCAGCGGTTGCTCCTCATCCAACCGTGGGAACTCTGAGGTCTGCTGGCAGTTCGTGCCCCTCCTGAGCTACTCCCAGCCACCCTGGAAAATACTCAGCTGCTCACAGGCCTGCTCAGACCCCAGCCTGCCCAGACCTAGAAACAAAGAACAAGATCTCTGCTCTCAGATCCCTCAAGCCTAGCTGGGGACAGCCTTTCTCAGAGTCATGTTGGGGTTTAATGCTCTCCATCTCTACCACCAACCCAAATTTGAAAAATGAAAAAAAAATATAGATAGATAGAGATATGTGAATGACAGGAGGGGAACCTCACTCCAGCTTCACAATGCTTTCTTCCATTTCTACTGTTTTCAGCATAACCTTTGTGCTCTTTAAGAGAAAACTTTTAATGTTCAACAATCTTTTGCTGAGTGCAGTGGCACATGCCTTTAATTTCAGCTACTCAAGAGGCTGAGGCAGGAGGATTGCAAATTCAGAGCCAGCTTGGGCAGCTTAATCAACTTTGCCTCAAAATAAAATTTAAGAAAGAGCTGGGATATATCTCATTAGTACAGTATTTGCCTAGCATGCACAAGGCCCTGGGTTCCATCCCCAGTAATACAGTCTTTTCCCTCCACTTATTCTCTCTGCCATAGGTTACAAAAGTATCTCTTAAAACTTAGAAGCCATGTGCCAACCTATTTCTCTTTGCATCCCTTCCATAATAACCCTGTTTTTTGGATTGTGAATTCAGAACCCCCTCACTGCCGCCAAAATAAAATGATTGAGAAAGGTCAAGAATTTGAAAAAATAAAAATTGCTTGGAGGAGAGGGACAGATTGGATAGCAAGCTACCATAGAAAGATTGGCAATACCCTGCTGGTGGTACCTGGGAAGTGGCAAGTAAAAAAGCCTAGCCCATGTTGGAGGAGGGTGAGTGTGAGGGTAAGGGGTGTTGAAAGTGAGCCTGAAGGAGAAAGTGACTGACTGTGTGTAATAACCACTGAGGGTGTTGGGGATCAGGGTGGGTAGGGATAGTTGGTGTATATTTGGGCAAAAACAGGGCTCTAGTCTTAGGACTAGATTCTGGCCAATTCTTCTATCTCAGGTAGTCAGCCCCAAAAAGTGGTACGGAAGACTTGTGTGCAAGTGTGGGACACACATGTAGACTCACCCAGATTGCAATAAGAGAAAAAGGCTGCACACAGGGTTTTTTTCCTTCCTCCATCTAAGCATGTGCAAGGGATCTAAACAGGGTTTCATGACAGCTGCTGTTGATCGTACCCTACCTTCAAAATTCAGCTCAAATTTCATCCCCTTTCATGAAGCTCCCACATAACTCAAATTGATCTTTCCTATCTCTGGATTCTGCGCAGCAGTCATTTTAGCATTTAATCATATACTGTATTATATTATTCACATCTTTCATGTTCAATGTCTTGGCTACAAGATGCAGAGATCCTTTGCCATCATTACACAGGTACTCATGTGCCTAGAGCCCAAAGGCATAAACTGAAATGTGGAACGACAGCTAACTCAGACACTTCAGCGTGTACATCAGTATACTTTCTTTCATTCTTATCAAACCTATGCCCAACTTAAAAAAAAAAAACTCCATTTTTTTACCTTAAAAAGTGACTAACCCCCAATACTTTAAAATGCAACTTTATTTGAAAACAGAGTCATTGCAAGATGTAATTATTTAAGATTACAGTCATACTGCAGTAATTCAATGTGACTAGAGTCCTTGTAAGAAGATGGCCGTGTGAAGACAGAGACATGCAGGAAGAATGTAATGTGAAGATGGAGGATTGGGACAATATATCTACAAGCCAAAGGATACTAAAAATTGCTAGAAGACCACCAGAAGCAAGGGAGAAGTAAAGAAGGATTCGCCTACAGTTTTCAGAGGAAGCATGGCTCTACCTACACTTGATTTCAGACTTCTAGCCTCCAGAACACTGAAGCAATAAATTTCTATTACTTTAAGCTGCCCAGTTTATTATACTTACAGTTATAGTAACCTTGCTATAACTAATGCATGAGCAAACATATTTAACTAGTCCTCCAAAGTTTCTAATGCAACTCGTTCTAAGGAAAGATTACATGTTGACCTTATGAATGTTGTCTGGGTGAGTTAGATAAAGAAAAACATTCCAGAGGAATGTGGAGAATTATAACATGAGTGGTTGTAAGAATAAATAGATGTGAGAATATCCTCTGAAAATGTCCAGGAGATTCTGGCCAGAATTTAAAACTTGTTTTAGTCTGTTTTCTGTTACTATAACAAAATACCTGAGTCTAAATATAAAGAAAAGAAGTTTATTTAGCGCACAGTGTTGGAAGCGAAAATTCCACCTTGCTGTGTCATATGAAATCTTGGATGAAATCTTGGCAGGAACACCTTTGAGGAGAGATCCCATGGTGAGATAGTAGCCAGGGAGGGAACAGTGTTACTCTTTTATGACAACCTCTTTTGGAGAGTTAACCATGATCCCAKGAGAACTTCTTATAAATGCAGTGCCTCCAAATGACCTAACCACCTTTCACTAGTTCCCCCTTCTTAAAGGCTACACACTACTTCTCAACATTGTCACACTGCAGATCAAGCTTCCAACACAAGAACTTTGGGGGACACGCTTAAATCATATCCAAACATAGTGGAATCCTAGCTCTAAATTTGAGCTCAAGAACACAAAGCTTCCTGAATTTTCTAGACTTGTCAATTTATCAAGGAGATGAGTATAAAAAGTGAGTAGACATGGGCCCCAGGGCTCAGTTTTTATGCCATACATTTTGTAATCCAGGAGGGAGGTATGACTCAAGAGTGCCCTGGAACTCCCCAGCTGATTCTGAGCCAAATTAAGGGACACATGGATGAAGAGGAGCCCACCCTCAAAGACCAGAGCATTTTATTCCACAAGGTAATGCTAAGTCTACTGACAAATGAGTCCAAATTAACCTGGATTCTTGGATTTTATTGATTTGGGGTGACCACTAAGCTAGAAAGATCCAAGTCAGAGCCCTACTTTCTAAATGCCTATACACAGACACAGGGCCCCAAGAACTACTGCCTGGGCTTCAGGGATGATTGATTAGCAAAGAGTCCT